GTATTTATTGCCACTCCTCCAGTCCCCGTTTTTCCCTATGAGTCTTGACTGTGAACAACAGAACACATTCCCTACGGGACACGCCCGCCTGGGCAATGTCTATTCTGTATCTGTTTTTTTTATAGCTCATATGTGTTACATAGAAACGACAAGAGTTAATATATGAATGTATATGCATATATATATATATATATATATATTAAAAATACGAGTATGACTCGGCCATAGCCTCCTTGTCCTCGATGAACAGCTCGCGGCTCTCCAGTCTCTCTTTCTACTACTCTACTATAGAGTTGGTTATATTGAACTTGAAAATATAGTAAAATAAATCATAGCCTTCCGTCTATTTTAGAAGGCTATGATATGAATATGAATAAATAGTAAAATATTATAGCCTTCTTGACTTGATCATAGAATGTCTTCATAGACAAAAATATATATTTGTTTCAGAGGCGGCTATGGCCCATGGGTCGGCTTTTCTTTATGTGAACTTGTGAAGTTAAATATGTATAAAACTCTAATACAGATCTATAAATAGAATTTACTTGATCGGCTTTTTATATTTTGTGGCTTTTTATGGGTAAAGTTACAGACAAACCCCAACAGACTCGCGTAACGTATTTGTTTTAAAATAATCACGAAGATACATAGTAAATACATGCACTCATAGACATGAGTACACAACCTCTGGTAGTGGGAAGTAAAGAAAAGAGCACGGAACAGAAAATTTACAAGATATACTGCTCATTTATAGCCAGTAAACTACGCATGCAGATATAGGGGCGTAGTACGAGTTGCGGTGTTTACTTACTTTCGCGCGTAGACACATGGTCGTGACATTTACAGTATAGGTGTATACGATAAGCAACAATAGCTAGTTTCATTCAAAGTAAGTCATAATGGCTGACCCGAATACAAGGAATGCACCAGCTCCACCACAGAAAAAAAGGTCGCTCTAAGGCCTGTATATACTGTCATAAGTCACACTTGGTCTGTGAAGATGAGAGGCCGTGTCAGAGATGCAAGGTATGAATATTATTTTAAAAAATA